GTCAAGATTCCTGATGATTGTAGAACCCAAGTAGCAAAAACTGTCAACAACACCAAGAGTGATGTAAGGTATTGGTTCTTCCACCCCTTGATATATGATCAGTCTTCTTGAGACTAACTGCCATCCTGAAGCTCTTGCATGACTCAGAAAATCTGCCCAAGAGATTCTGCAGGGAAGATTTACTGTGGGCAACCAAAGCTGCACCATCTGCAAACAGGAAATCTCACAGAACCAGCTCTTTCACCTTGGTTTTTATTATATACCTTGCAGTGTTGAACAAGCCTCCCTCTAGTCTGGTTTGAAGATATATGCCATCATTGTTGTCCTTCAATGCATGAAGAAGCAGGCATAAAAAACAGGAATGAAAAGTAGATGTTAAAAAACACAGAAGCTAAAACACACCCATTTCACCCCATTGTTGATGTCAAAGGCATTTAATTTTTTTGTTTTCATATATACTACAGTTGCCTTCATACCTTGATGTAATGAGTGAATGATGTTCCTTGTGGCCTTTGCCCTCCCTCAGGTTTTTACACTGTCATTTCCAAATATATTTTGAAATAATGGCCTCAATTTGGGGCAGTGACTTAGCTCAGCATGTCCCTGGGAGGAAATTTGTTTTCTACTTCCTTCATTCTTGTAGTGACTGGAGATCAGAGTAATACAGACACTTCAGCTTCTGTTGTGCAGTTACAGTTCTCTATGGAGCTATCCAGCAGCCTGAAATACCCAGAGTTTACTGTGATCTACAAGTTTCCACACTCTCCTTTCTGTTGGTCTCTTCCTCCTTTTCCTCATTACATTCTCAACTCATACACACACTGAGGTCTTTGAAGGTGAAGGAGAGTGGTACTAGTAGGAAAGTAATGTGGGTTTTGTTTCTATAGTTGCCTTAATTAAAAAGAAAAAAAAGCTCCTTCTTTTCTTATCATTAAACCAGCCCTGTGGCCCTCTATCCTTTCAGGATCATGATACAGGAATGGCAGTGAAGGCCAGAACTTAAGCTAATATGTTATTATCAACAAGCTCCCATTCAACTCAAGCTGGGGGTGCTGGGGAGGCTAAGGATAATGGGCACCATTTTGTTTTTTATTCGGATCACTTTAAATATGGAAACATGGAAAATGTTTAGCATTGCTCTGGACTGAAATAAAAACCATTAAGGCTAGGGACAGATATTACACACAAACCAGTTTAAGTGATCAGAAACTGGTTTAAACCTGTAACAGAACACGTTCAGTGCACATAAACCAGTTTGAAAATGGCTGAAACCAGTTTGAGATAAACCTGGTTGAATATAGTATCAGACTTAACTGATTTGGGCCAAACCGGTTTATGCAATGTCTGTCCCAGACCCCTTCCTGTTTCAAGTTAAACCAGACTCCCCCAGTACCCAAGATACTTTGCAAGCCCAAGTGGGGCTCTGCACTTGCTCCAGCCCAGCAGGGCTGGCCCCACCCCTTCACTCCCTGGCTGGAGCTCAACAGAGACTGCAGGTACAGCAGCATCTGCCTGGTTTCCTCCTGCCCCTGCTCCCCTCACCACTTCTTGCTCAAGCAGGGATTTCCCCCCCACCCCCGCCTTACACAGACACTTCTCAGCATTAGCTAGCAGACCACATGCTGGCTACACTCTGTGCTGTGGCAAAGGGGACAAAGGCAGACATGACAGTGTTGGCTTACGGCTTTTTGGAACTAATCAACAGCTCAGCTGGTAATGTCCCTCCGTTCCTTCCTTGGAAAAAGTCATTTAGGAAGATCTTGAACTAATGAGGCTTTGTTTTGCTGATGGGCTGATAAATGCTGTGTAACTCCCTGCTGGCTCTCAGAGGAGCAGTGAGGGAGGCCGAATCCCTCCCTGCAGGGCCTGGCCATGCCCCCCTCAGCTCAGCACTGTCCAAGGGAAGGGAGGGCATGCTCTAGCACCCCCCAGCTTCAAGCCTGAGCCACTGCAGGCATATGCCTTCATTTCTGGAATGAAAAGGGAATGTCTATCCACCTCCAAATCAGTTCAAGCTTTGCAGGCTAGACTAACCTGCAAAGATTTAACCAATTCAGGCTCAGGTTTTTTTTTAATGTCTGTCCCTAGCTTAAGAGCACTGTTAGAATATGGATAAACACAGTTCTACCAATGGGCGACTGATGCCTCCTAATACTGGGGGGGACACCAGTGGCTGATCACTGACTGGGAAGTGGGGAGGGGGGGTCCCCCAGAGGCCGACCAGCGCCTGGGGGGGAGGGGTCCCCCAGCAGCCAAATGCTGTCACTGGTGGCAAACCCAGAAGTGCCGCTGGCAATTCTCTCAGTGGGGGGCATGGCCAATCTCAGGGGGTGCACGTGCACCTGTGTGCACCCCCTACGTGCTGCCAATAGTTCTACTGCAGTAATTAGATAGGATGTAACTGCTGGAAAGGTACCAGTCTGGTGTGCAGTTTGGGGATCTGATTAGGTTGTATCTATGCTTCATGACAAAGCTGTATCTTTAACCAAGTAAGGAGAAAACTTGTATTGTAATCACATCATCTGACCTAATTAGTTTATGGTATAAACAGAATTAAACAAACCAGAGCAAAGATCTTTTCTGCTTTGTATCAGTGGGCCTGCAACAGAGTTGTAGTTGTTTTTGAGAGGCCTCAATGAAGCACACATACAGGCCCTAGCCTCCTGGAGAACTGAATATTGAATATGTGCAAGCATGAAAAAAGAATGAACCTCACCTTGAGAACTGCTTCACCCAAGGCAGGAACATTCTGCAGAACAAAGACTAGAGAAGTGGAGTCCAAGTAGATCACAGGCTCTATACAAGTCTGTGGTGTGATGCAGCTGCACAAAAGGTGAATGTAGTTTTGAGGTGCATCAATAGAAATGTTAGGTGGAAGACATGGGAGGTGATAGTGCCTCTTTACTCAGCACTGGTTAGGCCTTATCTGGATACTGCGTGCAGTTCTGGGCTCCACATTTTAAAAAGGACGTGGAGAAGTTAGAGAAGGTCCAGAGGTGGGCAACAAAGCTGGTAGTCGGCTTGGTTGGAAGGCAAGTCATATAGAGAGAAAATGAAGGAACTAGGCACGTTCAGCTGGCAGAAAAGATGTTTAAGAGGGGACACGATAGCAGTCTTCCAATACTGGAAGGGCTGTCATAAAGAAGAGAAAAAGCATCTTTTCTCTCCTTCTGCTGGAGAGGAGGATGCAGACCAATGGCTTGAAGTTGCAGCAAATTAAGTTTAGTTTGGATGTGTGGAAAAACTTCTTCACTGTTAGACTAGTCAGGCAGTGGAACAGACTGCCTAGGGAAAGTTGTGGACTCTCCATCACTGGAGGCGTTCAAGAAGAGGCTGGATAGCCACTGGTCAGGGCTGATCCAGGCATAGTTCTGCCTATGTTCTACTATGGAGATTTCCCATGCTTCTAGGGTTTGCTGGTCCCCATTCCCCTTCCCTTTCTGCTACATGCGTCAGGGTGTTTTTCAGCCTCCCTCAGGGGCACTGGGTGTTGGCCACAGCCAAGGCTGGGGACTTTGACTGGGGTGTGCCAGTGCTCCTGCTGGGACCAAAGCTGGAGGTTCCTGGCTAGACGGCCTTGACCTTCTGCTCAGGGTCAGATGAATTGCCATACTTGGGGTCAGGAAGGAATTTTATCCCCTGGTCAGATTGGTATGGACAGTGGGGATTTTATCCTTTATCTAGTGGGGAGTGCAGCCCTTTACCTGGAGTTTCTTGAGCATATATAATGCACACATTTTTGCACAGAGATAACTACAGGGTGTCAAAAAAAAGGATACATTTCATTGGCCGCCATGGTTCCCCTGCTTTACCTGTGGCAGGTTAGGGTGTTAGGTCTGTGTTGTGTTAGGGCTGACAGTAGACTTAGTAGAGTTTAGGTTATGGATTGTACAGGATGGTTTGGACAGGGATGATCCTGCCTCAGGCAGAGGCTTGACCTAGATGACCTCTGAAGGTCTCTTCCAGACTTTGCTATGATTCTACAAATACCAACTTAAGTTTGATGCATACAATTTTGCACAGAATTAAGTCCAGGGTGTCCAACAAAGATACCTATACGCACAATATTCTGCTTGCTGCTGTGCATGCCTGGATTCCCCGGGGGGACGTTCCCAATGCAGGTGGTGGCCCGCGCTCTAAGTTAGGCTTCTTGCTGTCTATGAAAAGAGGAAGCAGGTGTCTCTCCCTTCCTAATAGCCTGCTGCTGTACTCATGAGACCCCTCCCCCACCCCCCAGGTTATGTGCGCGGGTAACCAGGGCTATAGACCTTCTCAGCCTTGCGCAAGGCCAAGGCCCGAAGGAGAGGCTTTGAGCCCCGACCCTAAGGCTGTAGCTGTGGCGCAGCGGGGCGTTTCACCTGCCTGCGCGGAGCTGGGCGCTGCGCTGCCGGGGAGAACCAGCTGCCCGCCCCGGCACCTCCACGGCCGGGCAGGGAGCAGCCCCGGGCGCTGCCTGGTGCACGAAGCGGAGCGGGGCTTGCTCCGACCCCCGGGCGCTGAGGCCGCCCCGGGCGCCTCCCGGGGGCGGCAGGAGGGGCCT